ACGGTGACAACACTTTCAGGGATCCGCCAACTTTTAAATCACCCAATTTTTATCTGGCACAACACTAACACTATTGAGCTTTCTGCAAATAGGTGTAAAGGTAGACTAGTGTTTGCTATACTATGTTAATTATTTTAGTGTTTATCTGTTTTTATCTTTTTGGCATAACAAATATTTATTTTTAAAAAACAAAGTAATTATTACATAAAAATGTTCACAATTTCTGACAAATAATTACAGGAATATATTTTTATTTATTTTATTTTACAAAAAACTTTTAAATTACCCTGCTAACATCTTAAGTTATAAATTCAGAAATAAAATGTAACTGTACCAGTTAATTAACAATTAATTTAATAATAAGATGCTATTTACCCAATAAACTATGACTTAAGTAATCAAATGATCAATCAACAATCAATTTATTAATATGACGTTAATGGATTAAGAGAAAGATTTCCGTTATACATATGTAATTAAATAAATGTAACGGAAACCCAGTAAGTTTACAGAATAACTAAAATACACATGTTTGACCTATTTAACAAAAAAAAACGAATAAAAATAGGTAACTGGCACAACTAAACCAATACATTGCAGGGGGTAACTGGAACATAGTTTTTGCTAAATATAATTATAAAAGTACACGCAGCCATAATTAGCAGTCTATACTTTATTCTGTCATAAACATTATGAGAAATTTAGATAGATCTTCTTTCAGCCATTACAAATTGGTACGCAAATGTGGTATACATGGGTAAACTTACTTAACAATATTTCATGAATACAAAATTCTTTTATAATTTATAAAAATAGTTGAGTTTATATGAAAAAAAAATTAAATAAATTTTAAATCTTCATTGAAAAAATAGTACCTCTTACTTGGCCAATATGTTAAGAGAGTAGTAGAAAAACATAATAAACTTTTTTACGGAAATACTGCATTTCATCAAATATAACTTTTAACGGCCGACCCTTCAATTATTAAAAAATAAATTTAGGTACAAAACTATAATCGTAAACAGGTACCTTTTAGGTAAGTAAAATAGGTGAGAAAAATTAAAAAAGGTATTTTAGGTAAAATAAAACTTGGTCCGACGACACCATTTTTATAAAACGGACACATACAAAACAAAATCTTTAAAACCTTAAAAATCTCGATTTATTTAAATTATTATTATTATTTTATTATTTATATATGTATTTTATTGTTCTATAATTTAAACTTCTCGCCTTGACTGTAAAAATATTTTGGATCAATCGGGTAAAGTTTTTATCTCCTATAGGCCTAAGCTAAGACCGGATTAAGGCAAAAGGGCTTAAGCATGTAGGTGGTTCTTAAAGTTTTTTTATAAAAAGAATAATGTAATTTTTGGTTTTAGTAATAATAATAATAAAAATAATAATAGATCTTTATTTTAAATTTAGTAAATAATTGGAAAAGAAAAATGCCGAATATTATGTTAAGTAGGTTCACACCCTAATTTTTATAAAATGCAAAAATCAAGATAAAATTTATTTAATATACTTTACTCGCAAAGTCTCTATTCTTTATTTATTTTATCGACTATTCCACTCATTACTTTATGGACCAATCAGATTTCAGAAAACGAGTGTTTTTTCAGTTTTGCAGCGACTATTCCACTCATTACTTTATGGACCAATCAGATTTTAGAAAACGAGTGGTTTTTTCAGTTTTGCAGCAATAAAACTACTATTTAGATGACTATTTCCCTCGTCTTAATTTCCACCAATCACAAACGCGCCATTTTGAACTACAAATGGTTTCTAGGTGGAAAAACTGTATGACAGCACCTGTCAGCAGTTTTTTCGAGTTTACCCGCGGCAAAACTTGACAGCTGTTGTCACCAAAAATTGTTAACTCCAAAGAAAATCGAAAAAACACAATGCTAAGTAATATTTTTTAACAAAATGCATTCGTGCAGGTGCAATTTGTTGCCACCAGCCCTCATGGTTCTTGTTAAAATTACTTAGCAACGTGTTTTTTCGATTTTTTTCGGAAAAATTAGATGCTCTTATGATATTACTTACGAAAAAACCACTCGTTTATACGAGTTGCATAGCAACCAATTGGTTGCTATGCTAAAAATAATTGTCACTGTTGACGTTTTTAATTTTAAAATTAAAATGTTAAAAAAAATGCGGTTTGGTCAAAAAAATCATAGAGAAATTGAATCAGCAGTTAAAAATATTTGTGAAATAGTCAAGCCGAATACCACTGGTGATAACATTTTCCCGGAAAAAATTGTTATTTACTCAAGATTTTTCCTTGGAAATTTCGCTCGTGGCATTAACTTAAAACCACTCGCCTAGTGGCTCGTGGTCTTAAAAATTAATGCAACTTTCCAAGAAAACAACAATCGTATAAAAATCAAAAATTTTATCGGTAAAATTTTACCACTAGAGGTGTTATATACGAAAAAAATTCTCCCATACAGATAAATTACATTAATTGTAGGAAACAATACCTCCTATACTTTTTATTAGAATATATTTATAAAAACTGCGATTAAGAAAAATAAAATAAAAATAAATATTTAAAATTGAGATTTCACCTGCAGGATCCTGAAAAGTTGGGATTAAGCTTTTCTTATGAGCCTCAAACGAATCATGCACAAATAATAACTATGGTAATTTTTTTTCAAAAACAGCATTATTCCTATAAATTGACTGTACCTACTTATCATGCTAAAACCAAAGTCAAAATAATTTTATTTAAAGTGTTAGCATTAAAAATTTTGTTACCTGTTAACTCACCTAACTATAGTGTAAAGATTGGTAGAAAAAGAATTTAAAGAACAAATAAAATTAATTTATCTAAAAATATAATTTATTTGATCTAGGTATCTAACCACCCTGTCTAGACCTTATCACCGCAGAAGAACCCCATTTTTTTTAATTGATTGGTGTTGCAACAGTATGCTGTGGGACAATATCCTACGCGGGCCCCCTTTATACCGGGTACCATGGTGCTTATCCTTTTTGTATGAAGAATTTACCCATAGTTTTGTATTTCTTTCAACAAAAAAATCAACTACAAAGGACTAATTCAATAACTTTAATTAAAAGCCTATTTAAAATTTAAAGTAATTAATAAAATATTTAAATGACAGGCAAAAACAACTAATAATAAAAATATAACAACTTAAAACTAAAAATAATGCAAAAACCCTATTCCCGGCGCATTCGCCATTTTTGTAACAAATTAAATTTTAAAATACCAATGTTGTAATACATGCCTTAACTTTTGAATTAACTTTCTAATTATTAAAATTATTTTAGAAATTCGATATAAAAATGCTTTGTGTACATGAAAAAAATCAAAAGCTTAATATTTGTACGTAGTTGTTTAAAATAATATATGTATAATATAATATAATCGTTATTTATATTATAAATTAACGATTACCTAATTAATTATTGTTTATAAATTTATAAGAATAACTACAAACTTTTGGCAACAAATTGGTTTTCTAATTTTGAATTCATGCAACCAGTTAAGCAATAATTGTATACCGGGTTGCCTACATTCAGGGGAATTCTTTATAGATTTAACCATGACAATTTAACGGTATTTTTTTTAAATTTATAGTATTATAATATTTAGCAGGTAAAAACTAAACTTGAACAAAATTTTAATATCACATCGTTAACATTAATATTTTTATTTTAGTTTTTGCTTTAAAATTCTTTTTCCAACAAATGTTTTTTTTCAATGTTAATAAAGAGTTTAAAACACACATTTATCGTATGTTTCCTTGAAACTAAGTTATCTTTTAAATACATATTGACAAGCTGTAGTGTGCTTTAGTCACGGGTTTCGGGATTTTTAGTAGAGATGGGAATCGGAAAGTTTCCAATTGGGAATTTATTTTTATTTTGAAAGTTTCTTTTAAGCTACCGGAAACATTCCTTGGAAACTTTCCTTGTTTTTTTCATTTAAATGTCAATAGTTTAAGGCCAAGAAACTTTGAATAAGAATTTAATGTGTGTTAATTTAAAGCAGAAGAAGAAGTATAAATAATGTAAGTTATGTTACATAACCTCAATGAATAAAAAAAGGTAAACAAAATAAAAACAATAAACAAAGTTAAAATCATTCTTACATTTTTGTTGTTTATTTATAGGCATAGCACAATGCCAAGAAAAAAATCTAGTGTTTGGAATTATTTTTTACTTTACTTTTTACTTTTCAATATTCCTATATATTAGTTACTTTGTCCCTTTTAATTTTTTTTACGTAATATCTAGGATTTACTAGCAATGAATTTCTAATAGTAAACATTTTATTTTTATTTTGTAGGTTTCAGTATACAATAGGAATATTCCAAAGTAAAAGATACTAAAAATAGTATTGCAGTTACATTCTTATAAACAATTTTTTTATTTTTTTCTTAATAACATTTTCGTCAAACGGGAATTTTCCCATCTCTAATTTTTAGTCATCTTGAAGTTAGTTGTCACTTGTTTATTGTCATACAATCTTCAAAATAAAGCGCCTTCTTTTGAAAAATGTATTTTTGTGTTTAACGTATAAAAAGTATGGTATGCAATTCGTTTTGTGAACTTCACCAACAACTCTTTTATTAAAAACCTGCCCCGCAAGCTTTGCTCGTGCCTAATTAAAACTCGGGACTATAATTCCGCTTATAAAACTTTTTGCATAAGGCACTGTTATATTTAAAATTAAATTAATCTGTGTTTGTCGCATTGTAAATTTAAGCCCTTCGGAGGGAACTTTACAAGCTAATCAAGTGGCTTCTGGGAGTACGGTAAAACAAAAATAGCACTTTCGTATATACCTATAAATATATAAAAATATAGCTGCACTTTAAATTTTAACGTATGGTTTTATAACCTATTAAAAAATATTATTTTTTAAATTTAACATGAAAATATCGAGCAGTATGGTTGGTCGATGTGGTATATAATAATCTGTGTGTATAGGTAGAGATACAAATGTATATATGGGTACTCACTTGGATTGAAACCCCTCAAACTCCTCTTGCTGTTCGCTTATAGAGGCTTCGAGGTCAAGGTAAGAGCCATAATCTCCATCTTTGTACAACTGAAGTGCCGCATCATCCAACTGTAACAAATAAATATTGTTAGGATAAAAGCATTTCTTATACTTGGTCCTAAAGAATTCCTACAACTACATTTAATGAAACGATTCCAGTTCACTCTGTAAATACACTTTCCTTTTCTATGTTTAAACCAAAACTAACTATGCAATATGTGTTAATGGGGGGAAAGGAAATTTGATTTGTTTTTATAGTGATAAATGATTTTTTATTTAAACTTATAAAATTTAAAATAAATGGTATAGGGCCGTAGGGATTGATACACTTTTTTATTCAGAAAAATTAAATTTTTTTATTTAAATTAAAATCAAATAAAAAAAGTAGATATTGTGACATTATTATATATATTATTACTCGTATTGTAGCCTTATGTAAGTAAACGAAATTATGTTTTGGATTGGTATGTAATATGAAAAAAAAATTGTATATTATCACATTATAACGAAAAAAGTATTTTATGTTAGGCAACTAACAAAACACCTGTGTATTATTTATTCCATACGATAGAGCTGATTTTTACGAAGGGTGAAAAATTATGTTTTCTTGTGTAAATTTGCTTAAAAAATTGACTTGATAGGGTATTGCATTTTATTTTAATAAGTATGTTTAATTTTAGAAACAAAATTAACAAAAATAACTATGCTTAGCGAAATTCTTAAATGTCAAGTGTTTTATTTGTTTTTATTGTTATTATATTCAACTTGAAATAATTATATAATATCATAGGTTATGTTTATCCTCCCTCTTTTTTATGACTTTTAAACTACTGTTAAACCAGCTAAAATTTATTAATTAATTAAATTTTGACTAATAATATTAATTATAATCATCCAAAGATAATTTATATTTAATATAATTTAGCAAATATTAAGTTATATCCAACATTTTTGAAATCCCAATGCTAATACCAATATTTCACGGTCACTCTTAGACTTAATCATTTGTAGGCTTCGTTGTCTTCTTATATTCCACAATAGTTTCTTAGTTTTACAGGTTGGTGAACCTAAGAAATCTTATATTTTTTAACCAATTGAATTATTCATGGTCCATTGATATTTATTTTTCATTGTCAATTTGTATCAACAAATCGATTAAAGAAAATGTTAATGTGTAAATAAAACCTTTTTGGGTTTTATTTAATGTAATATGAGGCACGTTTTCTTAAGGAACAATAAATAATGCCAAAAATCGTAGGAGGACAGTTTATTTTATAAATATTTGCACTGTAGGAAGTAATCTGAACCGCCTAGGTGCATTCAGAGCATTATTTTGAAAATTTATTACGTGTAACAGTTATGTATTTATTACGCGATATTTTCTAATAACAACCACTTATTTTATAAATATTTTTACATAATTATAATCACAAAAACGTTACGTTTAAGAAAAAGTTAACGATCTCATTTAACACATACTCACTCACAGTAAGTAGTTAAGTCTCATCAAATTATGAATACAAAAACGTTGATTTTAAACTAGTTTTTAAATTTTTATTAACACCTGTAACTGAACCTTGACAGTTACTAATAGCCTTTTAAATCAGTTTTGAGGCCTAATCGAATAAATTACCCATCGACTTTCACTCAAAGTGTTGATACCCTTTTTACATCAGATTATGATGAACTTTTAATGGAAAAAATAATGTAAAATATAAATTTAAAATTTATTTTTTATTACTTACCTATACATTTATGAAAATTCAATGTTTTCATCTTATAAGATAAGTTATATATGGAACGCCAAAGTATTTTTTAATCGTCAATTAAAAATATCACATTTGAATTTGCGATATCACAAATTCAATTTCTGATATCACAAATTCAATTTCTGATATCAGAAATTAATTTGTGATATCAAAAATTAATTTTCGATATCACAAATTAATTTTCGATATCGCAAATTAATTCCTGATATCAGAAATTAATTTGCGATATCGAAAATGTCTTAAAAAAATTAACAACTTATTAAATAAAAATGTATTTTTTCTAATCCATATTATTTGTAATTCATACAATTAAGAAATAACATTAAAATTTTAAGTTTATTTAAATTATTGATCCGGGTATATAATTAAATTGTAAACATTTTTCAGTTAATAATTTACCTGAATTCTTAAGTAAGCATAATATTTTTAATTCTAAATAAAAACTTTCGTGACAATTTTTTAATACTAACTACATACCAATATATTGAACATATTTTTTAATGAAATCTTTTTTTTAATTCGCCAATAAATCGATATTTTTAAATCAAAGTGATATTTTTAATTCGAATTATTTGGACAGCCCTAAAAAATTAACAAGTTAATAAATAAAATGTATTTTTTCTAATTCATATTATTTTTAATTCATACAAGTAGGAAATAACAATAAAAATTAAGGTTTATTTAAATTATTGATCTGGGTATATAATTAAATTGTAAACATTTTTCAGTTGATAATTCACCTGAATTCTTAAGTAAGCCTTATATGTTTAATTCCGAATAAAAAGTTTTGTGACAATTTTTTAATACCACATGCAAATATATTGAACATGTTTTTTAATGAAATCTTTTTTTTAATTCGCCACTAAATCGATATTTTTAAATCAAAATGATATTTTTAATTCAAATTATTTGGACAGTCCTAAAAAATTAACAAGTTAATAAATAAAATGTATTTTTTTTAATCCATATTATTTTTAATTTATACGATTAAGAAATAACATTAAAAATTTAGGTTTATTTAAATTATTGATCCGGGTATATAATTAAATTGTAAACATTTTTCAGTTGATAATTCAACTGAATTCTCAAGTAAGCCAAATATGTTTAATTCCGAATAAAAAGTTTCGTGACAATTTTTTAATACCAAATACAAATATATTGAACATGTTTTTAAATGAAATCTTTTTTTTAATTCGCCAATAAATCGATATTTATAAATCAAAGTGATATTTTTAATTCGAATGATTTGGACAGCCCTACTCGAAGGGTTGCCTACATACATCATGTAGTGCCAACCAAAGTTACTAGAGAAGTTTGACAGACAAAACAACAACCTTTATAATCTGTGAAAATGTGAAATTTTAGTGTGAAGTTTATAAAATAAGACAATGGACCAGCGTATTGGTACAGTACTAAATCGAATCAGGGCTGTAATTAGCAGTGCGTGTCGTAATTATGAAGTAGACACTTTAGGGAATGACAATACCCGTTCCGAACTCAATGTTTCATTGGACAATTTATCCAGAATTAGGCACAACATTTCCGATGAAACTTACAGTACCCTTTGACACTAGAAATAAGAAGAAGAAGAACCTTTAGTTGGTGTTGGCGCTCACGGTTGGCGTTCCTGTCGTAAAGCTGGGTTTCCCTTCTGCGCAGACCGCATTTGGCAACCTAATTAGTTGACAATTTTGTATCAAATAAAAAATATTTTGTTTTTAAGAAAGTTCGCCCCCTCCGCCCTTAGACCCACGGCACGCTACTGGTCATGGGTTACCCAAAAAGCGGACATTTCATTACTTTTATATTTGTTTTGTTGTTTTGTCTGTCAAACTTCTCTAGTAACTTTTTTAGTAACTTTGGTTGGCACTACGTGATGTATGTAGGCAACCCTCCGAATAGGGCTGTCCAAATCATTCGAATTAAAAATATCACTTTGATTTATTAATATCGATTTATTGGCGAATTAAAAAAAAGATTCCATTAAAAAACATGTTCAATATATTTGTATGTGGTATTAAAAAATTGTCACGAAACTTTTTATTCGGAATTAAACATATTTGGCTTACTTGAAAATTCAGTTGAATTATCAACTGAAAAATGTTTACAATTTAATTATATATAATTATATATACCCGGATCAATAATTTAAATAAACCTAAATTTTTAATGTTATTTCTTAATTGTATGAATTAAAAATAATATGGATTAGAAAAAATACATTTTATTTATTAACTTGTTAATTTTTTAGGGCTGACCAAATCATTCGAATTAAAAATATCACTTTGATTTAAAAATATCGATTTATTGGCGAATTAAAAAAAAGATTCCATTAAAAAACATGTTCAATATATTTGTATGTGGTATTAAAAAATTGTCACGAAACTTTTTATTCGGAATTAAGAATTCAGGTGAATTCAGGTGAATTATCAACTGAAAAATGTTTACAATTTAATTATATACCCAGATCAATAATTTAAATAAACCTAAATTTGTAATGTTATTTCCTACTTGTATAAATTAAGAATAATATGAATTAGAAAAAATACATTTTATTTATTAACTTGTTAATTTTTTAGGGCTGTCCAAATAATTCGAATTAAAAATATCACTTTGATTTAAAAATATCGATTTATTAGCGAATTAAAAAAAAGATTTCATTAAAAAATATGTTCAATATATTGGTATGTAGTATTAAAAAATTGTCACGAAACTTTTTATTTAGAATTAAAAATATTAGGCTTACTTAAGAATTCAGATAAATTATCAACTGAAAAATGTTTATAATTTAATTATATACCCGGATCAATAATTTAAATAAACTTAAAATTTTAATGTTATTTCTTAATTGTATGAATTACAAATAATATGGATTACAAAAAATACATTTTTATTTAATAAGTTGTTAATTTTTTTAAGACATTTTCGATATCGCAAATTAATTTCTGATATCAGAAATTAATTTGCGATATCAAAAATTAATTTGTGATATCGAAAATTAATTTTTGATATCACAAATTAATTTCTGATATCAGAAATTGAATTTGTGATATCAGAAATTGAATTTGTGATATCGCAAATTCAAATGTGATATTTTTAATTGACGATTAAAAAATACTTTGGCGTTCCATAGTTATAGGTAATTTACCTCCAAGAAAGTAAATATTTTTGCACGTTCACATATTTGCGAATAAAAACGGTTTTAATAAAATATTTAAATTCCAGATTAAAACAATTTAATTTGTTAATTATATGGTGTTATACAACAGGGAACCCTCACTGTCAAACTAATATAGTAGA